GCGTACACAAAAATATGGCTCGTGAGAGTTTTGATATTTTTTTTCTTTTTTTTTTTATTTTTATTTTTTGAACAGTAAAATACTCATAAGTTCATCAAATTTTTCAAGTGTCTAGTCATTTGTATGCATTAGCAGTATCTTAATTTGTCCGAGTAGGAAATAAAAAAAGAGCATATTTTTCTGAACATCCAGTATTTTTAACTCTACTAGTTACTTCAAAGTGAAAAATCTTGATCTTTGAAACTTTGAAATCATAGATGAGTAATACTATTTATTATCATGATGATGGAACATCGATAATGTGACAACACATTATCCATCGCATTTCTCTCTCTCCTCCCTCTCTCTCGTAAAAAGTGAATTGTTCAATCTCATTATTTCACATAAACTGTCACATCAATGATATTTTATCATCATAATGATAAATAGCATTATTCATCATAGACCGATAATCTCAAGGATTAGTATCACATATTACAGTAAATTTAGGATTTGGATAGAGTCTGTCCTGGCGAAGGTGCCCATGTATACATTTCAGAGGGTATAGTACCATTTGTTAGCAAATTTTGTTGCACCCCATATATTTCTGAGAAATCAATCTGGTGGAGCCGCCGATTGTTTTGGTAGTGCTGGTTATGATTGGCAGCGGCCGCAGCGGCAACAATCTCGTCATCCTCTAATGGCAAGTGATCAAAGAGTATTGTTATTTAGCCTCACTAGAGTTACAACCCCAATAGTCTAGGTGGTACTAATGTAGCATTAAGAGCATGTCTGGCAGCCATTATTATCAGATTTTAACTCAAAAAGTTATCATTGCAGTCAACTGGTGGGTCTCCCCTCTCTCCCAAGCAGTCAAAAATGGCTACTCAACTGGTACATAACGGCCGAAATTTTGATTTTAAGTTGGTGAATAATGGCTGCCAAACATGCTCTAAATGATAGGTAAAATTAAAAAAATAATTCAAAATTTCACCTTTTATTTAACCTATCATTTAGAACCACTTAAATTGGGGTTACAACCTCAGTGAGACTACATAGCATTACTCGTATAAAAAGTTGCAACTATAATAACTACAGGTCCTGAAGCAATGAGTGCACCAACCACACTCCCTCCTACAACCTCTCCATGAGTCCCAACAAGGTACATCGTAAGGCTGGTCACCACTCCCAGCACTGCTGGTGGTGGCAGAATTGATCCAAGCAACGAGAAAATCTCGAAACGGGCATGGAGAGTAATGACTGATCCCGATGAAGCCGGCTGACGGATGGTGACATTGGTGGCGCAACCTGTTGCGTTGAGTACGAATAGGCCTCGCTGTTTCCGCCGAGAAAAGTTAATTAAGGTTTCGTTAATATCGTAGCCGGAGTTTACTTCTATTGCATGTGCTCTCATTGCATTAGCACTTTCCCTAGTGATGATAATTGGCTGCTTGGGTTTATTCTTGGAGCCAGCTGGCCTTCCGCGAGGGCGACGAAGGGTTTTGCATGGTAAAATGTATATAAAAAGGTTATATAAATAGACATCGTCCCATATTGGTTTGTACCATATGTGACGTCATTTAATGCAGGAAAATTGTGAGAACGATGAGAGTCTTGACCTAAATTTAAGAATCTTCTCTTAAGGTGAATATTGTTAGACTGAAGCTAAAAACCTATTCCGGGAAAGAAGTATAGCATGAAATAGGCACTATGATTCTGGTGTTGATTTTTATTGTAAAAAATCCAAGTTAAGCATAAAATTAGGTCAACAATTATCAAGTCTAATATAGGATCAGGCTTTAACCATCTCATTTGAAGATTAATTAGCAAACAGTGAGGAAAGACTATACCTCTCTCAATTCAGAATGAATGCGCCAAGTGAAACTGCACACAAATGACATACATTGTAACCATCCAGAAGACAACCCAACGAACAAGATAAGGACACGTGTCAAGATTCAGTTGCATCACTCCACTAACAAAGTCGCACTTTAAAAACACGGTTTTAGTATAGGAAGTTAGGGAGTACAACCAGGATTCGAACCTCAACACTTTAGCCCTCGTTTGGCACCCATTAATTTCTCATTCTCATTTTTATTCTCATTCTCATTCTCATTCTTCATTTCAACCACACATTCTTCAAATAAAATAATATTACACACAAATCAAAAACTTTTCATCACTTTTTCACCACACATTCTCACATCAATTACTATTTCAAAATTTCTATTCTTCTCAAAATTAGATTCAAACACAAGTATGACATGTACAGCAAATCTTGGCCCAAATATTTGTTTCGATCCAACGAATGACATTTCTCTGAGTGCTAAAAGTAGGATATCTAGAGCTCGGGATGGGAATAAAAACAGGCTTTATCGTACAGTCTCAGTGGCCGGATATTTATCGGTAACGTAGCAAAAGATCTGGCGCTGCGCTTCGAACCTCAGGTGACAAAATTATATGCAATTGTACCCTATCTTATTTCATTCTCATTCTTCTAATCATTTTCAACCACACATTTTTCAATAAAATAATATTTTCCATCACATCAATAAATTTTCTTTCTTTTTCAACTACACATTTTTTATCAATCTACTATTCCAAAATATATTATTCTAAAATAATATGGTTCAAACACACCCTTATTGTCATCTTACAAAATATTAATAATAAAAAGATTAAAACATAATACAGTAAAACGAATAAAAAAAGAAGCTTTTTTTACAGTGGGGGTACATATTAAGGGGGTGTTTGACGTGGATTAAAATTAGATTTTTAATAGATTGTGATTGAAATTTTTGAAATGTGTGGTTGAAAAGTTGTGGGACCCATGAAAAATGTCATTAATATTGATTGTTTGACTTTGACTTCAATTAAAATATGATTTTAATCAGAAACAAACGGGGCATAACTTTGTTTTTTTACAACAATGTTTCGAATTGAACAATCGTTAAATAAAAATAAATTAAAAATGCCTATAACAAATGAATTTCATAATTTTATTTATTTTATCCACTCTTTCAAGATAAAAAAAAATATTTTTTTAATAAATTTTAATAATAATTGATGGAACGTGTGTTTAAAAAATTGCGGATCGAGTAAATATATAATTAAAATTAATTATTAATTTTACCTTAAATTTTAATTAAATTTTTTTACTGAATCAAAACTATTTATTTACTCCTAATTATCATGCTCATAAGTAAAATTTTAAACTCGTACGATATTCCAGTTCATGGGTTGATAACTTGCTATTAGCAGACAGCTAACAATGGTCCGCCTTTATGTTCGACACATTGAAAAAGCATAATATTTATAGAGAGATAAAGAGGAGAGAGAATGTGTTTCAAAACAATCAAAATGGGGAGCAGTATTTCATTCATCTTCTTGAAGATTCATGAGAAATGAAAGGTTAATCAATGGTGATTATATTTGCGTCGTTTAAACGGTGAAATGACATTTCCAATTGTTCTTCAGAAAAAAACTTCAAATTCTTGTATACATGTTTAAGCTAAACGGTTGAATCTTTACCTGAAAGCTCATCGAAAACTCGGAGGATCAAAAGGGTTTTTCTTTTTGTTGAGTATCAAGATCTCTTGATGGGAAGGTAATTGATAATCAAACATTGTAAATTCTGTACTATTATTTTCCTGTTATTTTTCTCGATGTTTTGGATTTTCTTTCTTAGTTTTGATCTGAAGAACTGACTTCAAATTTGCTGTCCTGCAAATTCTAAGATTTCCTTTACTTTCGAAGTTCACAACATCAAAACAATAAGTCTTTTTACTAAGTTCAATCAGCTCAATATATATATATGACACTAGCTTGTATGTTTGTTTATGATGTTTCTTGAAGTCCATGAAGTGGATCCGCTTGTGCGTTTCAAAGTCGTTTAGATCTTTCGGTCACTGTAATAGTAAAACTATTGGCCTAAAATTTTGGGTTTCTGTGTGCACTGTGAAAATTGAAAAGTAAAGCCTTTTTGTTTTAGATAAATCTATATGTACATAATTATTGTCAGGGACAGACCCACGTGGGGTCAAATGACCCCACAAAAAAAAATTTTGAGTTTTTTTTTTATTTTTTTAACCTAACACTTAGCCAATATTTGAAAAATACCAAGTAGCCCTTTTGAAAATACCCAGTAGCTCATTTGCTGAGGCCCAAACCCAATTTAATAAAATTAAACCCAATTCACACAACCCTATACCTGCACAATTTCTAAATTT